TCTTTCAACCTCTCTCTCTCTCTCTCTTTATATCTATGCATAGAAAAACTTAGAATTAATGCGGGTGGTTGAAGAGTGGATAAAAGAGCATAGAGAGAAAAAAGAGGAGGAAAAAAGAACGTACACACATACACACACACACATGAGTTACACTTCTAGCTTTTTATTACCGCGCGTTACCTCGTGGGAAAATATATTGGTTTTAATATTTTTTCTTTTAAACAATACGCTCGAACGCGGGCCCGTACCTACTCGATTACGGAAATATCAATATTCTTTCGCCGCGAGGATCGAATAATGGCATCGACAGGTGTCCTGGGAAAAAGGAATTACATTATGCTAATAGCACTACTCTGCAAATGATAACCACCGTACGTACGAGATCGGATGAGAGAGTCCTTTTAGTTCGAAAAGAGAGAGAGAAAAGATTCTTCCATATGTTTCTTCCTCTTTCTTTCCTTTCTTTATATTTTTTCTTTCCGTTTTTAGCATTTTCTTTCATCGAGACCCACATGATCATCTTCTCTTAGGAGCTCATCCTACTCAGCTCTCGAAACTTGCAATTTTTCCATCTCACGAGTAACACGAGTTTCATCCTTGGTTTCGTTTCAGACTCTCGAAGGAACTGCAAATGCGTATACGTGTGTATCTCCGTGGTAATACCAATTTTTTTTTCTTCACCTCTCTCTCTCTCTCACTCTCTATTTCTGGGTCGTTTTTTTTCTTTAATTTCAGTGGACCGCAAAAGCCACGTTACGACGGAACTAATTAACGGGCATTGCTACGCGCGAAGTAAAGAAGTCGTTTTCATCGCGTGTATACAACATTTACATTCCATTCCTCTGTTAAAACTCCCCCCCCCTCTCTCTCTCTCTCTCTCTCTTAGTTCCCTCTCTCTTCTCTAGCCTCTACATTCTAAAACAGACTGCTTTGATCAAGCGGATTAAATTATTACGTTTAAGGATTAGCATGCAAACACTTTTAATTGCTTGACGAATTTTTGCTTTGTTATGAATTTAAATGACTAAAGAAGTAGGTTGGGAGTAAGAGAGAGAGAGAGAGAGAGAGAGAGAGAGAGAGAGAGAGAGAGAATGAAAGAAAGAAAAATATAAAGAAAGAATTTATTTTCACGAGTTTTTTCTCTCTTTATAAACGCAATGTAATTGATTACGTTTTAAGTAAACCTAATGGAAAAAAATAAATAAAAATTCCAACGTCTTGTTACTTGTTCGTGGCATCGAACAAACGAACGAAGGAACGAATGAACGAACGAATCAACTCAGGGAATCGATGTTTGAATAGCTTTCGACTTTAAATGTTGGTCGAGGATCTTCGTTCGGGCGTTACACACGACCGAGCCAATATTAGTTAAGCTACGTTTACATTCGCGGCTTTCTCTATCGTATATCACATCATAATCAGATATAACTGCGGGCTAGTATCGTCAAAGCGTATATCATAAATCGTATCAGTAAACGATCCTTCATTTCGTTCACGTTCATTGATTTCTCTCGAATAGATGAAAATTAGCGAATAGTTTACGTTTACGTGCACGTGTACGCCTGTACGTATGCGTTGAACTATAATTCGATTTATGTTGCATATTATCAGGTGCTTCCAAAAGTATTTTCATTATTTTGCAACAGATTTCGTTACTCGCGTTTACCGATACCCTAATCTATTCCTAAAAACTTTCAAAATCATTTTAAATTCAAAGATTTTCGAAAGGTTTTCGAAAGGTTTTCATTTCAAAAGGTAAAATGTAAAATGAAGGCACCTGGTAGATACTGAATGAAGTTCTTCAAATTCGACATTCGCGATCGTTTAAAATACTTTGGATTTTAAACACGAAAAAAGAATCAACTTTTATTTATAATTGAAAACACGATATTACTTTCCGAACAAGTGAATATAGGTATAAATCAACGTATTTATATTGAATTTTGATGAAATATATATGAATAGAAATTGTCGGTAAAATAATTCTCAACGTTCACGGAACGACGAGCAAAAATTCAATCAAATTTAAACAGCGAAGAACGATGCATATTTAGTCTTTAATACGTGTAAGCATTCGCGATTTTATATACACAAAATATATCTGTATGTAATGCTTATATGCAGGGTGACCCAAAATTCCGGCCATTTGAAGAACATAATCTACAAAACTAATAGAAAATCATGTGTTAATAAGTATATTCATTATTAATAAAATAAAACAAATATGACATTGTTTAATACGTAAAAGAGTTATTCCTCGGATTTTTCTTTTTTAAATTGTCCAATAACTTTTGATATATAAATATTATTTTGTGTTATTTGTTGTATTGTGCAGTTGGATCTACAATTTTAATACGTCATTATAAATAAGTTTATAAAGACGTATATGTCGGGAGTAATACATCCAGATAAAGATATTTACACACGGTCTTAGCAAAAAGCCAAGAATACCTGTGATATTCGAGGAATCCACTGAATTCTAAGAAAGAAAGCTAGAATTCGTAGAAGCTGTTCCTTATAAAAGTGGAAGGTACTTTCAGAAAATAAACGACAAGGAAAACGAGAGAGAAAGAGAGAGAGAGAAAGATAAAGTCCTTTCCATCTCTTTCTCTTTCCTAGCATCGATTCATTTTACTTCAGTATCTATATGAAGAAGCTTTCTTCTTCATCTATTCCTTCAAAAGGGTTCCTTCTTCGAAAGCATCCTTCTTCGAAAGCATCCTTCTTCGAAGGACGACTCGGTATTGTGGCGAACGTAAATATCTCGTACAAATACGTAGAAGATAAAAGTCGTTTGATCGGTTCGTAAAATCACGATCGAAAACGAGTTGGTATGTACTTTAAGGGAAAAGGAAGAACAGTGGGAGGGGGAAGGAGGGCTTGAAGGGCCGCTCACGCGGCCTTGGAAATATAGGGAGGGGAGGGGAGGAATATATCGTGGCTTAGCATACGCGAGAGAAAGATCGTGGAAAAGGGTGGAAAGGGATAGAGAAGTGTGCCGGGGGTAATCCGGACCACGGTCGGACCACGGACGGGGAGTTTTCTAATTTGAATGTTTGATGTCGGATCGTCTTTTGTTTCCGGGTCGGGCCGCGGTGGCAGCGAGAAGAAATAAGAGCGGTTACATTCGCCACCCTCTCCTCCTCTTCCTCCTACACCTACTTTCCTTTCTCCCTTATCCATTGTTTCCCACCTGATTCCCTGCTACCATTTGTGACCTCTTCCACCCACTCTTCTTCCCTTCCCTTCCCTTCCCTTTTCTTCTATCTCATTCTCATTCTCATTCTCATCCTCATCCTCAAACTCGTCCTCATCCTCTCGTACTATTCCGCCTACACCCACGGTTTCCCCTACCAGGTTCCTTTCTGCTTTCTACTGACACCTATGCATCGTGTCATCTTTCTCTCACCAACACACTCTCGCATCCCCCCTATCTCTCATCCCTTACTCTTCTCTCTCTTATCCTCGGAATTTCGTTTTCGGTGTTTCCTTCATCTCTAACTCTCGTCGCCTAGATATTATATATATATATACATATATATATTTTAGTGTGTATATAAGTTATACATATGTACTAACGTATAAATAGAATCAGCCAACCAGCAACCATAAACCCCATAAAAATGCTAATACGTCGAAACGTTATGAAGGCTTGCCAAGATAACATTGAGACTACAAATTTGATCTTCCTTTTTGAACCCTCGTTGATTCTCTCTCTCTCGTTCTCTCTATCTCTTTCTGAATAGAAATTGTACGATCAGTTTGAAAAAAGAAAAAGAATTAATATAAAAAAGTAATAGAGAACTTTGTGAGGAAGCAATCGAACGTGTTGTTAGAACATTGAAACATTATCGGCGTATATCGATTTTATTTTTTCTCAAAGTGTTTTTCTGAAACTGGCAACTTGTTTGACGAATTAACAACGGGCTTTGATCTTTCCGAACAGTTTAATACCCTTTTTTTTTTTCGAAGTGTAACCTCGCGCGATAAAAATGAATAAAAAAGTGAACGAGTGAGTGAGAAAAAGAGTGAAAGGTCATTTTAAACACGGCCTAGTTAAGAAAGAAAGCAAGGACTTTTGTCGAACGAGTTTCGTTGAGAAACGCTCGTTAAGCACGATCTGGTAGGTTCGAGGTTGCACGCCATTGGTGGTGGTGGTGGGTCCGATGCCAACCGCACGTCGGATTTCGCGCCAAATGCTCTCTGGCTAGTCGAGCAACGTGTTGGAAGCCAAAGAGCTTTACCAAAGGAAGGAACGTTATCGTAATATCCATTACATCGATAAATTTCAAACAAGTTATGAAACAATTTCGAGTAAAAAGTCAATCGAACAAAATGTCCGATTCGAATGGACAAAATTTCATTCAACTAAGTTCGACGCGAGAACGCATACCACACACCTACATGCATACACACGCGTACACAGTGAGAAAGAGAGTGAGAGAGTCTATCCATCGTCTTTCAGCAAAGCGAACGATGCTGAATTCTTCCCCGTTTCTCGACTACCAAGAATTCCTTGGTGGGAATGTGCTCGAACAGAAGAGGAAATAATAAAAGTGAGAGAGAGAGAGAGAGAGAGAGAGAGAGAGAGAGAGAGAGAGAGAGAGAGGAGCAGTCAACCTTTATAACTTCCGTGGTAGCTGCTAGATGAAATCTCATAAGGTTAGCCCACTTACAGAAGAGTTGAAACTCTGAAACTCTTTCTTTTATGGTCCCACGTCAAAGGGAATTACAAAAGATTCACTACTGTTACTCGTTTCATCGTTACCCTCCCGGTGATTTAACGTTGTGCGAAGGATGATACCTAAGGTGCATTTATTCCGCACGAAATGAAAGAATCGTTAAAAAAAATATGTCTAAGATCAAGAGAGAAAGAGGAAAGAGGAAAGAGAAAGGGATGAAATTATTTGAATAAAATGATATAGTAAGATACCTTTGGATTTTCTTTACCGATAATGAGAGAAAGTAGGTTTTGCATAACGAGAGACTTTGTTACTTACTTGGGATATTCCAAACGCTGTGCGGAGGTGTTCATTTGTCTGCAAGAACGTCGTCACGATCATTACTCTCTCGACAATTTCTCTCTTTCTATCTTCTCCCCTTGTCACCCCTTTTTTTCTTCCCCCTCTTCACCAGCCTTTCCAAGTTCTCCTCGTTGCAACGGTGGCAGCTAGCTTACTCTTGTTCTCCTCTTTTTTATTTTTTTTTATTTTTCCTCCTCTCTTCTCTTCCTTAACCCCCTTACCACCCCCCCCCTCCCTTTACCAATGTCTCAGAGTTCCTTCTTTTTGATCACAAACACTGCGCCTATCGTACCACTCGAACAACGCGAAATATAATAACATAGTAATGAAATCACTTTTATACGATCCGTGATACGTCATTGTATAAGCTTATAATATTCTTGTTATTTTGAAATAACGCGACGCGTTCATCGCGTCTTGCGTGTACGTGTGAAATTATGTTTAAATATTTTTATAGGAGGATTGTTCTTAACAGAAAGGACACACAAGCAAGCGGTTGCCAGCGAGAGAAAAAGAGAGAAAGAGAAAGAGAGAGAGAGAAAGAGAGAGAGAAAGAGATAAACAGGACAAGATAGAAAGAAAATGTTTTTTTATTTTTTAGTTCTTTTTTTTCTATTGCCTCGTAATCGTAATCGTTGTTAAATGGACGACGTGTCGTAGAAATTCGTCGATTATATCATAGCTCGTGATTCCATAGAAAAGCCGAAGCGAGCTCGGTGAAAAAGCTCGCAACTTGATGATGCTACGAATAATATAACTGTAACCTGTCTTCTTCTATCTCGATCGTTTTCCCAGATATTATTCCTCCTGTTGCTATCGCTGTTGCTCGTGCTTTTGGTCTCGTCGTAATCGTAGTCGTCGATATCGTTTTTATTATTACTTTTATTGATGTTTTACAAATTGAATTGTCTTCTTCGATGGACGTCATCGCGACGATTAGGCCAATATCATATTACTTATCCCAGGATTATTCCAAGGATCGTTCGGCAAATTGATATCTTCCATTTGGAACGCGTTTCTTTTATTTTCTTTACAAAGAATAATAATATTATATAATAAATATATTATAAGAAAAAAAGTGTTATATCCGGATAGAAAAGAAAAGAAAAGAAAAAATATAATTTATATGAAAAATGAAAGTTTCGATAAGAAAATAAACACGTTTCACGAAGCAACACGCAGTAGATGAATACAGATAGATAGATAGATAGATAGGGACAGAAAATGAAAAAGATGAGCAAGGAGGAAGAAGAGGAAGAAGAGGAAGAAGAAGAAGAAGAAGAAGCAAGCGAGGAAGTCTCTAGGATAGAGAGCAGAGAGCGCCGAGATCAGAGCGGTGAAAGCCGAGCGCAAACTGTTTGCTCTCGGCCGGAGGCGCCTGCGGTCCAGGCAGCCACGCAGTACACTGAGCCGTGCCGGCTGCTGCCCGGGAGAGCCCGTGGGCGAACGAAGCTCCCCGAAAATCTGCGAAGACCCTCGATTCGATACATTCACCCACTTGGGGGTGGTGTGGGTGGTAGTAGTGGTGGTGGTGGTGGTGGTGGAAGCAGCTCGCGTTCCACCACCGAGACCGACACCGCGAGTACTCTTCCTTCCGAGAGAACTGCTCGACCGTCCTACTATCCAACTTCAAGAAAAAGAAACCAAAAGAGAGAGAAAGAGGGAGAGAGAGTCTTATTTAAAGTCCAAATTATCTGTTGAAAAAGCTATGAGTTCGCGAGGAGAAAAAAAAGGAAAATCCCCTCGTCGTCCTTTATTTTTCTCTTCCGTTCTTTTTCCTTGTTCTTATTTTTTTTTTTTTTTACATTCAGTTTCTCTCTTTCTTTCTATTTCTTTCCATTTCTCAACGTTCTCCTTCGATCAATCAATAAGAGAGTTAGATCTCGAGCTAATCTTATCGGATGAATTCTTAACGAGTTTAGACGCTAACTCGGGATGAAATTTTTTCTCTCTTTCTAGCAGCGGAAAAAAAAAAGCTAAGAATGGGCGAGAGTATCCACTCGAGCGTATTTCTTGAACGCGATAAAAAAAGAAAAGATAAAAAAGAGAATGGGAGGTAGGTAGGTAGGTGCGAGTAGTTTCGGTTCTACCGTTGCTGGTTGTGGTAGTGATGGTAAATGGTGGTGGTTGTGTACGCTATTTGTAAATTCTATTGCCAGGGTGGTGGTATAGCGCGTGGGACGTTTTAAAAATTGCATAAGTGCGATCGAGCGTTAAGTGAAAAAGAACAAAAATTATTTGAAATATGACGAAAAGAGGAAACGAGTATAAATAAATTCTTCCAGGAATATTTTTCAAAAGTTGTGTCATCCCATTATTACACTATCTCGTAAGATTTTTCTCGCGACATTTCGTTTATCTAAAAAAAAAAAACGCGTCGCCAATAACATTTTATAGACGATAATCGAGAAAAATTATATCCACCCCCGTCCTCCCAACATCACCCAGATAGATTTTATAGTTTAAATATACGATAAGGAGAGATCGATTTAATATCGGGAGAAAACTAAAAGCAAGTTTCAGTATGGAAAGGAATGATTTTCCTAGCTGGAAAACAACCTGTTGTCGATCATCCCACGATACTTTCGTTCATTCTATATTTAATTTTTTTTTTGTGTTCCCTCTCTTTCCCTCTCCTCGCTCCTCTCTCTCTCTCTTTTTTCTTTTCTCTTTTCTTCCTTCTTTTATTTTCATTTTAATCCTCGACTACGTATCTAGGTCGATGGATTTTGAACGTTCGAAAGCTTTCACTTTTTATTAGCCTTGGATCGAAATCCTCTTATATGAAGAATACAAGCCAAACGCGCGAACAAAACTAAATTCAGACAGTGGCATTACACTAGGCAACATCCATCAGTTTAATTGATTAACGCCAACACGTTAAATCCGATCCATCCAATTTGTATTTACCATCAACGTTGGAGATCCATCATCCTTGGTTCTTGAGATAAAAGAAAATGCTGGGAAATTCGTCGTCTTCGTAGTCGTCGTTGTCTCGTCGTTAAAATCTCACGCTAGACTCGTTCCATCTTCTTTTACACATTCTTCTTCTTCTTCTTCTTTCTTTTTCTTCGTGAAATGTGATTCTCTATCAGACACCACAGCAATGTTAGGAGAAGAGATAATAATTTTCAGAGGTTCTCGCTTGCACTTTTGCTGTTTCTCTCCGCATGCTTGATAGCTATTACCGAAAGCTTGTTTGGAATGTATTTACATAAGCTAGTCGTCGTAGTCTCTGGCCCTTTTGTTGGACCATTTCCTGATTTGTTTCGCTAATGAATTCTGGAAGTTATCTATCGGAAAATATAACTCTTCCTATGCCACACCCTTCTTATATTTCTCTCACCCTTATTTTAAAACCCTTTAATATTTGATATCTATCCCACTGACAAAAACCTCCATCTCTCTTTTGGTATATTTAAATTATTATTATTATTATTATTATTATCGTTGAAAAGGGAGAAATGAATTTGGATGATGACGAAACAAATCAAAGGATATCAAAATAAAATCAAATAAAATGTATGTTAAAATAATAATTAATTAGCGTTTGGACTCTCTGTCTGTCTCTCTCTCTCTCTCTCGTAATTTTAAACGTGTACGAACGCCGATGTAAACCTATGTATATAAATACACCTACCACGTCGTCCACGTTCATAAGCGCGCACGCATACACAATACGATCCATGGTACACACGAGCGACCTTTAAAGAAGATTTACGAGGAGGACAAACGTAGCAGCAGCAGCAGCAGCAGCAGTAGCACCAGTAGCACCAGCACCAGCACCAGCACCAGCAGCTAGCTACGTTGCGATACGCGCCAGAGAATCCGCTCGAACTAAATTCCAATAACGAGACGGCGACGCGGGATACGAGTTCGAATCTTTATGCGCGTTTCGTTTTCGCGTATCTAACGAAAAAAAAAGAAAAGAAAAAAAAGCAAAAAAAAAATCGTTTAGTTTGTCCCTCCCGTTTCTCCTTCTTTCTCTCACTCCGTTTTCTTCTCTTTTTTGATTTTTTTAATTCCTTTTCTCGTTGCGACAAAAAAAAAAGAAAGAGTTTTCTATTACGGTAAAAAAAAAAGAGGTGGAACGCGTATCTAGAAAAATATTTTCACTATCTCTCTTTCTCTCTCTCTCTCTCTCTCTCTCTCTCTCTCTCTTTTTCTCTTTTTATTTCTAATTATCTACCTCTATCCGCCCGTAGATTTATTAATCAAATATTGTATTCGAGTACCCGTGTAATATTTTTAATTGATTCTTTCGTTTTTTCTATCATCTCGTTTCGTTCGTATAATAATTCTCGTTTTTACATAAATTCGTTATTTTAATCATCTCATTTTTTATTCATTTTTATTGCATATACATATACATATATATATATTATATCATATCTCACGCGAAGTTTTATTTGTATTACTCGTTGAACACATATATTCGTTACTTCTTTTTTTTTTTCTTTTTATTATCTCACGCTACCTTTTGATTTTTATTTTCCCTACTTTAACATAAATTCATTTCGCGATAATTAATGTTAAATCTACTACGGTGTGTTTGATAGTATCAACCTAATCAATTGATCACACTCTCTATCTCTCTCTTTATTACACACATAACGTGTCCCTTCTATACCACCGGTATATTATCTTTAGATATGAAAAAGTTCGTAGAAGGATAGTATAACCCATCTCTCTGTTGCGCGTAGGACGACTCCTCCTGGGTTGTTCCGTTTTATGGGTTAGGGTCAGTCGAAAGGCGCGTAGTAGTAGGTAGTAGTAGTAGTAGTAGTAGTATGACGGTATTGATCTCTCTCTCTCTCTCTCTCTCTCTCTCTCTCTCTCTCTCTCTCTCTTGCTTGCTCTCACGCGTTCGTAAGCATCGTTCGACTCGATCCTCTCGACGGCCACGTCGTCTTCGTCAGCAGCTGCCTCTTCCCGATGGAACTCGGGAATCGATCGTAGTTGAGAGTCGCAGCTATTCCGTCGTTAGAGGAGGAGGTGTAGGAGGAGGTGGAAGAGTTCGAACTTAGGAGGTGAGCGAGGTTGTGAACGGGGTTGGAAGCGTGGGCTTGAAAAAAGGACACCCTCTCGTGGAACACTCGTTTGGAAATATGGATCCGTGAAATGCCGAGTTGAAAATCCAGAACGACGATAGAAATAGAAAGAAAGAAAGAAAGAAAGAGTGGGTAGGAGATAGATAGAGAGAGAGAAGGAAGAAGATAGAGAGTATTATCGCGATTGGGCCGGTGGTCTCATCAGGAAATCGAGCGAAATCGATGCCCCGATCTGTATAGTGGAAGAAGAAGCTTCCTGATAATGCCCAGTATCCGTCATTAAAACGTTTTAATACGGTACACGGTTTGGTTATTCGAATATCTGTTGCCACTATTGCAATTGTTCGAAAATTGTGAGATATCATTTAAACGTAATCGTTCGAAGTGCGAATAATGTGTAGAATGTATTTATCCTCGTACAAATTATTCGAAAATTATATTTTCACGGGATATATATTCTCGTCTATTATTTTAATAAATAACGATATCTCTAATGGAAAATAATGAAAAGAAGAAAAATGAAATAGACACGAGGTTATAGAGAAATATAAGGAGAAGAAAAATTGTACTAACAGGAGCGATCATGTCGAACATAGGCGAACAAGTTAAAACGAAATAACAGGGAAAAATTCAAAGTGGATGAGAAAAGTAAGGTCGGAGTAATCGTATCTAAGGTATTTACGAGGAAAATCTCTTACCGCGACATCACTAGATGCTCCAGCTTTCGCACGGGAAATCCACGGGAATTTTGCGAGAACCTTACCCGATAAATCTTATCAGGGATTCGTCGAAGAAGACGGAAGGAAGTAGTAGAAGAGGTTCGTACGGAAGGTCGGATCGAGGTTAGGCTTCCTTCTTCTCCCACGCTGATTGGATTCCCGAGGGATATTCATTTCGACGTTGTCTTTTTTAGACGGAGTAAAATAGAAAGAGAGAGAAAGAGAAAAACAGAATGGGTAGAAAAATTTCGTGGGTGTTGAAAGCATAAGGCGAAGGGGTTGGTTGGTTAGCTGTTTTGCTTCTTCAGCCGTGGAT